ATGGGGATTATAATCCAGATCTACCCTATAGGGATGGGTCTCTTTCCCCCACCAGACCCAAATATTGGCTGTGCCTTATGGGGATGATAATCCAGGCCTACCCTATAGGGATGGGTCTCTTCCCCCCCCCTAGCCCCAAATACAGGTCGCCTTTCCACACGCCTCCCAATTGCCCCTCCCCCTCTGGCCCCGCCCTTCTCCAGGCCCCGCCCCTTTCTCCAGGCCACGCCCCTTTCCGGCCTCCCCCTCACCTCGGGTTAAAATCTTGAAACAGGCCCCTCAGGTTCATGGCGCTCCTCCTCCCGCCCTCGCCGGTCCCTCTGCTCGGTCACCACGGCCCCATGGCGGCTCCAGTCCGAAGCCTCCCGGCGAAGGGGGAAAAAAGATAAGAAAAAGAAACCCGGCTCCCGCCTCAGCTCCGCCGACCATCCACCACCTCCCCTTGCCTGCGCCGACTGGGTCTCACTGCGGCTGCGTCGCAGCCGGATCGCGCACGCGCGCCCCCCCCCGCTCAGAACCTCGGGGGAGGTCCCGCCCACCCCCGACCTCTCAAAGCGTCGGAGAGTCTTTCCTTCCGCGCCTTGGCGCTCCGCCCCCTCGCTTGTGACGTAAGAACGCCTCGAAGCCGTGCCCTCTTATGGGCAGCCTGTTGCAAGGGCTGGCAGCCTTCCTGTGCCAGGATGGATTTTTCTTTTTTAAAGACAGATTCCGACAAGTGTCCAAATACGTGTCTGGAGAGCATGCTGTTTGATGGGGGGGGGGGGGGGGGGCGGTCCGCAGAGGAGGAATGCATTTTGTTTATTGCAGAGGGGAAGCATGGCAATTTAAAATAAAAATAAAAAGAGGACTGATCACGCATTGAATTCCTGGATGAAAAGAATGCAAATGCAACAGGGAAATAAAATAATCGGATTGCCAACCATGGTCGGAAAAGATATTTCTGAGAGGTAAGATCCTAATTTCGTCTTGTTTGAATGAGTTGATTGCATTTCTATGCTGACTTTTCTCTGATATGCAAACCTGTCCATTTTATCTGTATTCTAAATTCTCTTTTTTCTTCTTCCAAATTTGCCTGTGACAGCTATATCAGGGTTGCTGTAGGTGTTTATTGATTTGTGGGGGCAAATGAATGGAACCCATCCAGTGCCAACAGTTGTGAGCCTCAACCTTCTGATCGAACAGCTCAGCAGGGCTGGTTCTTTGGGGGATGAGTGCCACCTGGTGATCCTCGGGTAGAAGGACCGATAGAAGAGAATCTGCAAGAAAACAAGCAAGCTGAGAGACCACCAAGGGACCCCCTGGTTTCAACCCTGAGCTACAAATATTCTTAGTTGGAAACCACAATGCCCAAACTTGCTTGCTGGTGGATTGCCAGTATTGGTGGAGATATGATTGTTCTTCCTGGCATTTCCTTGATTAGAGGGATTATTTTCTACTTGATGGTTTTGTCAGGGGTTAATTCAACCTGGAAAAAAGGAGGAATTTCAACCCGTGGAACAGAAGTTGCCTTCGGAAGTGGTGGGAGCTTCATTGCTGGAAGCTTTCAAGAATAGAATAGAATTAGAATAGAATAGAAATAGAATAGAATAGAATAGAATAGAATAGAATAGAATAGAATAGAATAGAAATCTTTTATTGGCCAAGTGTAATTGGACACACAAGGAATTTGTCTTGGTGCAAATGCTCTCAGTGTACAGAAAAGAAAAGATACATTTGTCAAGAATCATAAGGTATAACACTTAATGATAGTCATCAGGTACAATAAGCAATCAAATTGGACTCCCATCTGTCAGAAGTGGTGTAGAGTCTCCTGCTGGGGTGGAGGGTTGGACTAGATGACCTACAAGGTCCCTTCCAACTCTGTTATTCTGTTATTATTATTCTGAAGGTAGCAGGTAGAAGATAGATACTGTAGAGCAGGGCTCTTCAAACTTGGCAGCTTTAAGACTCGTGGACTTCCACTCCCAGAATTCCTCCTCCACTCATGTTGGCTCAGGAATTCTGGGAGTTTGAAGCCCACAAGTCTCAAACTTGCCAAGTCGGAAGAACCCTTGCTCTTTCTATCATGTAACCCGCTCCCCAAGTTCTACTTCTAGAACGGGCACCTTGGTGAGGATTTGGGGACCTGGGAGAAGCAGGTGACTTCTAACTTAACGTGCTTTTTAAAGGGGAGACCTTTCATGCTTTAAGGATAACCGGAGAATCCTCCCCCCCCCCCCGGTCCGATTATGTCCCAGGTCTTTTTTTCCCTGAAGGCAAGCCCCCCCCCCCCCCCCCCCCGACACGCGTGTGCTGGGCTCCCACGAAAAGGTTTGCAGAGACAAAGCTTGGGCGCGCATCGGCGCTTCGTGCGCGCAAGCCAGTTCGCTTTGCAGCCTCAGCCGCCGCCCCGCGGGTCGGGGTGGCGCTTGGGAAGCCCTGCCCGCCGCCACCGCTTCCTCCTCCTCCTCCTCCGGAGCCTGTCTGGCTGGCCGGCGAAGACCTTCCCCGGCGGGGGTATGGCACCGGCGAGGCTCCAGCTCTGGTTCCTTGGCGCCTTCTGGGTCTGGCTGAGCTTCCTGATGGGCGGAGGTGATGCGCCTCTCGGATCCGTCCGGTTGGGTGGATGGGTGGAAGGAAAGCCTGCGCACCCACGGGCGGGGGCGAGGCGGTGACCCCCCGAAAGAAGGTTCCCACGACCCTCGGGGAGCCACCCGATCTCTGCAAGCAAGAGTCTGGGCAGTGGGAGATGCCGTTTGGGAGGGGGAGAGAAAGAAAGAGCAAGGGAGGGAAAGGTAGGAAAGGTCCCTTCCAACTCTGTTAATAGTTTTCTTTTTCTTTTTTTCCTGCGATTGCTACTTTTCTTTTTAGTCTCCTGCAATTGCGACGTTCTTTTTTATTTCCCTGCTTCTTTCGGATCAGACGATTTGCATATTTGCAAAGTGGGAGCGGTAAAATTGGGCTTGCAAATGGATTTGAAGCTGCACCGCTGGCGGTGCTTGCTTTGCCTTAGCAACTGTGTTATTGGTTTAACAACTGCATTGATTCGCTTAACAATTTCATTGGACTGCCATTTGTCAGAAATGGGGTTGGGTCTCCTGCTTGGGGGGGAGTTGGACTAGATGACCTACAAGGTCCCTTCCAACTCTGATTATCTGTATTATCTGTATCTGTATAATCTGTACCTGAATCCAGAAGTAGATTAGCAATTTAACCACTGTGGGTGGCTGTGAGCAGCTGGTCTCAGCCGCAGCTAAATAACTCTCTTCTTCTTTTTTGGTCAGCGATTAAAACCAAATTAATCTTTTTTGGTTGTTCCATTTCAGCGTTCAAAGCCACTGACTCTTCTAGGGGTCTTCTGTTAGGCTATATTTTTAATAAATGTGTTTAGAAATATCTCTCTCCTCCCACAAGAGTCCTTAAAAATGTGGGGATGATTCATAATAACATGATAAAACCACTGTTCACTTAAACCAGGAAATGTGCAGAAACTGCTCAAAAATTTCCCTGTGTTAAATTTCTCTTGCAGTGTCTCTAAAGCAGAAGTGAAGATTTTTGGGAATTGTAGCTCTCTTCTCTTCTCAACAGTTTCCCTTCCCTTCCCTTCTCAATAGTCTTCCTTTCCTTTCCTTTCCTTTCCTTTCCTTTCCTTTCCTTTCCTTT